TTTTTTTAAAATTTAATTCTTTTATTTTAATTCTTGTTCATATAAAAATGTAAAGTTACATATTTACCCTTTAAAAATTGATCAATAATTGGTCAGATATTTAATTATTAGTCAACTAACGGCTTCTGTCAATTTGGACACCGGGTGCGAATTGTTTAAAAGTTTGGTACCGTTGATGGCATAAATGAAAGGTTTGGATAAAGTCTGTAAAAATATGAAAAGTTCGGTACCGTGACTGCAATTTTCCCTAATTATTATGGGAATAGACCATTTTGTGATTCTTAATAATGGTCAAATGAAGGTTTATAGTGTGCATATTAAATTGGGTAAATTTCATCTTTGGGTCTCCAACCATTTCGATTTGTGGCATTTTTGTCCCTGCTCTTTTTTATCCTCTTTTCCATTCCCAACCTTTCATTTATTCTCTCATATTGTCTCTATTGATGATTTCCTTCCATTTTTTCCATTGGTATCACGTAAATGGACAATTCTATCCTTAAACTTTAAATAAACAAAAAAGAGAAATTTGCAGTAGAGGTTCCAACCCTTTCGAAAAATGTGTAGTCAAGTTCAGACCTTCTAATTTTAGCACCTATATCTCAAATCTATAAATAAAATGTGAGCTCTAAGCAGATCTTGATAGTTCTTGTCCGAATGATCTTTAGTTGACCAAATTTTTTGAATTACCCATCATTTAACTTAAATACTAAAGGGCAAAAAGGTCATCCAAGAAAATTATGCTTAAAAAGATAAGGTTAAATAAAATCCCTATACCTACATCCAAACACATCCCAATAAATGTTTTAGTAGATTTAGAGCTTGTTTGGTAGAGATTAAAATTGGATTAAAATTGAAAAACTAGTCGTTATTGTTGATTTTTATTAGATGAGTGAGACCCAATAACGGCTATATTTTCAATTTTAATTGAATTAAAATCTCTATCAAACAAGTTCTTAAACAAAAGATTAACTTATGATAAGAGTTGTGATTATTTTTCAAATTTATTAGTAATAGGAACGATCTCCAAAAATTAATAAAAAAAGAAAAGTACTTTATCTTCTTTTAAAAGAAAAAAAAAACCACCTCACCTCTTTTATTCTCCTATGAGCCCCTATCATTCCTTCATTCCTTCTTTTCTTCCTCTTTCTTTGTATCACTATCGAAAATAATAATAATAATAATAATAATAATCAATTACACATATGAAGAGTACACAATACCACACCACACCACACCCTTACCCTTACACGTACCCTTACCCCTACCCTTACCCCAACCACAATTTCAACATCCACCCAAGTGCTCAATAATCCTACACGAGTCACTAAAATCCATAGCCAGCCATCAATGCTGTTGACAACCTTATATTGCAAGTCATGTTAAACTAGACCAAGCCATCTTCTATAATGCATAAAGAATTTGGTAAATTTCACCAGGGGTCCTCAACCTCTCGTAAGTATGGCACTCATGTTCCCAACCTACCATTTGTTTATTTCATATTGCCACTCTTTTAAGATATAGCATCCATGACCACAACTAATGAAAATTAAATATTTGAACGTTAAATGATCACATGACACTCGTGGATAGAGATAGATTAAAATAAGGGATATGGTCCATAAACTCTTAACACCCAGCTTCAATGGATCAAACCCACGATGTATTTAATAACTCTTCTTTTCATAAGCACGTTTCAGTTGTTCTCAAGCATTGCTAAGTAATCCTCAAGATTTTAAAAACCAATTTAGCCCTTGTTTGGTAGGGATTAAAATCAGATTTTAATAGATTTTGATTTAAAAAAAATGATGAAATGTGTGTTTGAAAAGTTGAGGGTTCCATAAAATATATGATAAAATTAGTTGTTGACTTTGATTTAAATTAAAATCTAAATTTTAATTTCTAGCTAAAAGGGGTTTAATATGAAAAGAGACATGCAAATTTTGCTTTAAGAAATTAAAGTGCGAGGCAAGCAAATCTCATTGATTTTTTAAAAATTTTGGATTTTTTTGGACTTTCATTTAATTTTTAGGAATTTCATTGATTTTACACTAATTATTTTATATTTATAAGATTGAAATTGAAAGCGTAGCATCTACACCAGGTAAAAAATATAGTTTTTGAAACAATATTTACATAACTAATTTCGAAGTCAAATTTATACTTTCTGCACAACTATACAATATTTTAAACTATTTAAAGTCATTTTAAAAATGAAATTAG